ATACCATTTCATTCGTGAGCTGGTTGCAAAAGAAGAAATAAAGCTGCAGCACTACTACACTGAACTTCAGCCATCGGATATTCTCACAAAGGCTTTAGCAGAAGATAAATTCAAGAAGTTCCAGTCCATGTTGGGAGTGCAAGCCCTCATTGAATTAAAGGAGCGAATGTTGGAGAGTAATTCACACGTGGGCTATGAAGGCAGACTTGGACTTTGATTGTTATTTATTTTGTTCCATTTGTTTAGGTCTATGTTATTAAGTAGTTCTATAATAACGTGATAATGCTAAGTGGTTGAGAGTATGTACGATTTTTCTATTGTGTCATTGTTGAAGTATGATATTCGTCAGAAATTTTAGGAAGTGGAGCTTCGTGTATGTAACAGAGCAAATGCTGGAATCTATTTAAAGACTTGATGTCAGTCCAAAAAATATTGTAAGCTTTATTGTTGTTGATCAATTGATTTGGTATTCAATAAAATTCTTTGAGTACTTGTTTGCTGAAATTCCTTGTGAGTGGTTGTGTGAGTTATTCTTCTATATATTTTCTAACAGCTCATAAGTTGGATTGTACAAAATTTTGTTAATAAATAATTAATCAGCTAATCAATTTTAATTAATACATCAAAAGGATTGTGTGATGACACAACTCATCTTTTGTGTTTACATAAAAATAAGCCAAACTCAAAAAATAAAAATAATACAAGGATGCTTAAACAAACACTAATTTTACCTAATTCTATCACAATTAATATTCTCACAATTTTGCATGAGAATTCAATCACCATAACCTTTTATAACCAAGAAGATTGGTATATTGATTTTGTAAATTTCAATGCTCAACACTTAATCTCTCACAGTGATCCCAACCCAATGACAATAAACCCAACCAAGAAACTATGTATGATATGAATATTCAATCAATCAATTTATCAAACAAATATTTTGTGTATGCGCTCAAATTGCAAGTGTATATAAAAATAATAAAGAACACAAACAATTTTTTGATGTGGAAACCTTCATCGAAAAAAACCACCAGGAACCTCTCCAGGTTTACCAAAGTCTAATCCACTATCTCCAAGTCAGTTTACAAATACTTGAGATTTATACCTCTACCAATACCATGGTTAATTGAGATTTATACCATGATTTATACCTCTACCAATACCATACAAATAATTGAAGTTTACCCCTTGTTCAATAATCATTGGTTTGAGAGCAAACTCTAACCTGTCTCTCTCTGTGAATTTGGTGTCCGAAATTGAGTGTTTTTATGAAACTCAATTTGGATTTCTTCTTGATATTTCCCAACCCTAGGCCTTTTCTCTCGTTGTGGAGGCATGATCACACAAAATCTTGTTTCAAGAATGTGCATCATCTTTAGAAATTCACTACAAGGTGATTAGGATCACTTAGGTATGATGTTTTAGGGTTTTGTGAGGCTTGAGATGCGAATGGTAGTGCTTAGAATGAAAAGTGCCGATCAAGATCAGATTCATAACCCTAGGGCGTTGACTACTCGTAGGGGTGCTCAAGCGGTGTGAGGGTCACTCGAGTGGTCCCTGAAGCTTTATTGTCCATTTTTAGAGATCAGCTTCGGCACTTTGATGGACCATTCTGACCCTTCATTCACTCCACTAGACCATCCTTCAAGCCTCAAATGCATGCATGGGTTTATGTACAACCTAAATGCATCTATATACACATGCATGGATGAAAATTGTATCAAATGTAAAGTAATTTTTGATTTAGTCAATAAACGCACAAAAAAATTAATCATGAAAATCACACATATTATCATTAAAACATATCCATCCAAATTTCATCATCTAGCACACTACTCTAAGACATATTAAAGAATAAAGAACTCAATTTTCATGCATACTAGAGAAATAACCTTTCACTTAGTTTAATTTCACTCGCACACATTCAAATTTTATATCTTTGATCAATTCTTGTGAAATGTGTGTGAAACCAAACTCCGACACAATTAGGATTCCATCGTCTAGGTCAAATCATTAATAAATATTTGTATGAAATCCTAATGCGTCGTCTAAATGAATACATGACTGGTTAGTAAGTATCCTAATCAATTTTTATTTTTAGGCACTCCCCATAAGATGGCTTCAATTGGCATAATTATGAATTCCATAGTTTACAAATATGCTTCGAAACATGTGTAGATGAGCTATTTGAGCTTTACAAATGAGTAATGAACATTAAGCATCAGTACTCCCAACAATTTAAGTGCAATTAGTTTTAGCCTTTTATTTTATGCCTCAATGGGCCATTTTCACATATTTGGTTCTTTGGTATATTTTAAGGGATTTGGGCCCTACTAACCTTTAGCCATATTTTTACCTATCACCAACACTTGCGAGTTATGTAAGGTCATTAATTATTTAATTTATCAAGATTCATAAGTATGAGGTGAATGGTTAGCATGTACTTGATTTTATGAATTTTTACAAAGAACATATTATCCAAGCATGCTAGGACAAAAGAAAATTAGTTCAAGGATCATGCATTATGATTTATAACCACTAAATTCTCTATTTCCTAATAGATCTCATAGCAATGCACAAAAATTTTATTTAAGGATGGATACACTACAAATCAAACCAAAGTGTGATTACCATGATTAAGAAAAAAAAAGCAAAATAAAATATATTTTTTTTCTTTTTCCAATGTTTTTGTATTTTTCAAACAACATATAAATAGAACAATATGCATAAACATGCAACATCAAAGTATAAATAAAGCAATTATTATAAATCTTAAAAAGAATGTCAATCTTGATATCAAAAAATTCTTTTGGGTTTTCAATTTCTATTATTTTTAGTTTTTTTATAAGAAAATAAAAAAAAATAAACATATATAAAACATATGACCCTAGGGCGTTTGATGCAATGTATGAATGTTAAACTTAGGTCCATATAACTCACATCACTTCTTAGGTGACTCAACCTTGTCGGAGACACCCAGGGCATCCAACTTAATTGAGGTGGTGAGCCTCCCCAAGTTCTCCCTAGCCACCCAAACTTCCTTTCCCTTCCAAAAACCCGGGTTTGGTTGGGGAAGGAGTGGAGGACTAACTCTCTACTTGATTAAACCTCAAAAGTTACTTTTTAATATCAATTAAAAGGGTTGATCACTTGTAATTCATGACTAGTAGTATATCAACTATGTAATTTTATTAATTTAGGGCAGATTTAGGTACTAACTTGAATTACAGGGTTAAAGAGCAATTTGGCGAAAGTTTGGGACAAAGGAAATCAAAGAAGAGGGCTAGAAAGAAAAAGAAAAATTTCTAGAATGAGGTAGGTGTCTAAACGTAACATACTATCGTCCGGATGCTCATTAGAGTCAAAAGATTCCCTAATAAACTATCTACAACGCTGAAAACTGTGAAAGCTGAAAGTTAACCCACAATCCCAACCCCTCTTGCCACCATTCGGATGACTCCTTTGGATTACAGATACAACTTAGTTCTCCAAATATAGAAAGATAGAGGCGTCCGAACACCCCTTTCATTGTCTGGATGCCCCCGTAGAAAGTTGGAAATTACTTTTCACTTTAAGCTTCGGATTTTGTGCAAATTTTTAGCATTTTTGTTGCCTTTTGCTGCTTATTGCCGCCCATATCCATCTATAAAAACCCCTAGCCCTTAGAAGGAGATCATCCAATCTTGAAGGGATTTCTTTCACAATTTACTCTAGTCATGTAGTTGTTTTTGATGATGCACAAATTGGTTTGCACACCACCTGTCAAGTAAACAATATTAAATGCAGCAAATAAGTAGAGAGTGAGAAGACAAGATTTATAGTGGTTCGTTCAATATGACTTACGTCCATTTTGAATGGCTAGGGTCGTCGGGTATTTTATTAATTCAGGTGTGTAGGGAGAGTAGAGAGTTACAAGCTAAGAGAGAGAGAGAGAGAGAGAGAGAGAGAGAGAGAGAGAAAGAGAGAGAGAGAGAGAGAGAGGAGACTTGTGCTCCACTGGGTGTGATCTACCCCCAAAGTGTTGGCGGGACTTACAATTTATAGTTGCCCTATAACCGATTAGGGCAAGTTATTAGTAACTAAATAGCTAATCTGGTGGAACTGATGACCTCTTCTCAAAAGATGAGGTAGTTACGGGGCTTTCTATAAGATCCAGTCAAAAGATGAGGTGATGGTTGACTTCTTCCAAGGCGGTGTAGATAAGGCTCTTAGGATGAACCTTACTCCAAGGTGGCTAGGAGGAGGCTTTTGGATGACCCTTATTCCAAGATGACCCTTACTTCAAGGTGGCTTGGAGGAGGCTCTTGGATGACCCTTACTCCAAGGAGACTAGGAGGAGGCTCTTGAAGACCCTACTTACTCCATTGGCAAGCTTGATCGGGTGTGGACCCCTTTGGGTTGAATCTCTTGGAGTTGGACTCTTAATTTAAACTGGGCTTACATCGTGTGCTAGGCCCTTGGGCTTGACCCATCTTTTACCCCCAATGCCCTGTGTCCAATGGAATTTGGAGAGGAGGGCATTTGATTGAATTTTAATTTTGGCTGAACGCACAACTAAAAAAAATTTAGCAGGCCAAAACATCTGCTTCTAGGCCTTTTTTGGACTTTTAATAGCATCACTCAAAGCCTAGCTTTGAGTCTTGTAGGGCTAGCTGAGAGCTTTGGTTTGATATATTATGGGCTTCATTTAGAGTAGTGGAGCAAAAGTTACAGTCAAAATATCGAGCAGGCAGTTGGGCGTGCAGTTCTGGGCGTGTGGGCATCCTGTTCTGGGTGACTAGAAAATTGGGCGCACCATTCTGGGCATCAATTTGAGTAAGCAGACGATTCTAGGTGTTGATTTGGGCAATCAGGCAGCTAGGCATGTGGTCTTGGGCACCAATCTAGGCATGTAGGCAGCTGGGCGTGTAGTTCTGGATAGGCACGCCTCGTGCCGAGGGTTAGGCACCTTGTGCGCTGTTTAACATGATGATAAGGTGTCACTTTGGGGCTCATAGGTGAGTCGAGCATGGAGTGGGTGCTGAGAGGAAGGGCACCGATGGCGTTGGGAGCTATTGGAGGGGCGTCCATGGCACTGGGCACTATTAGAGAAGAGCCTAAGGTGCTGAACGCTCCTGGAGAGGTGACGGGTGCTGCTTGTGAAGCAGGACTGGGACTCCAGGTGCTCGTCAAGGATTGATGAGTGTTGATATGGCCCCAGTAGACACTCAGCTTGGCCAGGTAGATGTGCAGGCAATGCCAAATGGATGAGGCCAATTGTTGACATTCAATCTAATGTAGTCCTACGGGTTGTAGATGGTCTGAGTTTCAAAACTATGCCTATAGATGGCAAAAACATTGTTAAACTAAAATTAAAATATCTAACGTAATTACCTTGAGAGAGAGGCAGACTGCTTGCGTGAGAGCAGAGATAGAGTTTGGGGATTTCTTATAAGAGAGCTGCACCTTTTGAGACTGAGCTTTTGGCGACCCGCAAGAGAGCCGCTAAGCTGGAGATAGGCTGCCTGATTGGGAGCAGAGAAGAGGCCAAGCTTTTGGTGACTTGCGAGAGATCCGCTAAGCTGAAGATAGGCTGCGTGCTTGAGAGTAGAGCAGAGGTAGGTCAGGCTTTTGGGGACCTGTGAGAGAGTCGCTAAGCTGGAGATAGGTTACTTGCTTGAGAGTAGAGCAGAGATAAGCCAAGCTCTTTTGGTGACCCATGAGCAAGCCGCTAAGTTGGAGATAGGTTGCTTGCTTGAGAGCTGAGCAGAGATAGGCCAAGATTTTTTGGCGAACTGCGAGAGAGCCGCTAATCTAGAAATTGGTTGTTTTCTTGAGAGTAGAGCAGAGATAGGTGAATCTTTTGGTGATCTACGAGATGATTCATCTTGCCTCGACCTATTGATTTGCTCAGTATTCATATATTTTGAGCTTTTGCCAATAGTTCTGGAATGCTCTTTGATGGTCATTCCATTACTAAAAAGAGGAAACTCGATAAGCGGAGGCCTCCCAGAAAGGCGGTCATGGTGACTATGTCATTGGGCTCCTCGATTTGGAGGACCTTCTCATTAAAATGAGTGAGGTGACTCCTCAGATTCTTGTCTTGATCCTATTTTATGTTGCGTAGATGGGTAACAGGCTTTTGCTGGCGGCATCCACCAATGAATTGTGCCACAAAGGATCTGCTCAGTTTAGCAAAAGAGCCTATGGAGGCCGCGGTGTGTTTGGCGAACCATTTTCATGTTGATCCTTTCAAGGTAGTTGGGAATGCCCTACAAATAATTTCCTCGGTGATGTTGTGCAGCTGCATTAAGGTCTTGTAGGTTTTGAGATAATCAAGTGGGTCCTTTGTACGTCGAAAGTTTCAATATATGGCATTTTAAACTTTTGGGAAAATGGATAGTTTGCCACATCTGGTATGAAGGGTGTGTCAGTTTGCCTTACCAGGTAATCGATGGTTTCGGGTCCTTGTACCTTCATGGCGTTGAAGACATCGCCTAGCTGATTCTACACTTCTTTGATTTTTTCGTCCTAGTGGTTGAGAGCTCCTATGTAATTGTCATGTAAATGGCTCCCATTCTCTATGCTTTGGTTTTTGCCCTCATCCTCTTGGAAGTGTGGGTCTCTATGCAGGATTTGCTGATTTTGGGCTACGTGTTGTTGCATTTGTCTCTAGCATCTACTGTGTATTTGGAACATGATTGGTTGGTGGAGGAACAACCTCCTCCTCTCGTGGTGGATTATCTTCAGGTTGATTCATCAATTTGGTGGTGATCGCCATAGGTATATCAAGAGATGTACTTAGGTGAGAATTTTGTCATTCTCACAGACGGTGCCAAACTGATGATGCACAAATTGATTTGCACACCACCTGTCAAGTAAACAATATTAAATATAGTAAATAAGTAGAGAGTGAGAAGACAAGGTTTATAGTGGTTCGGTCAACGTGACCTATGTCCACTTTGAATGGTTAGGGTCGCTAGGTATTTTATTAACTCAGGTGTGTGGGAGAGTAGAGAGTTACAAGCTAAGAGAGAGAGAGAGAGGAGAGTTGTGCTCCACTAAGTGTGATCTACCCCCAAGTGTTGGCGGGACTTACAATTTATAGTCGCCTCATAACAGATTAGGGCGAGTTATTAGTAACTAAATAGCTAATCAAGTGGATCTAGCGACCTCTTCTCAACAGATGAGGTAGTTACAGTGCTCTCCATAAGATTCAGCCAAAGGATGAGGTGGTGGTTGACTTCTTCCAAGGCGGCATGGATGAGGCTTTTGGGATGACCCTTACTCCAAGGTGGTCAGGAGGAGGCTCTTGGATGACCCATATTCCAAGGTGGCTAGGAAGAGGCTCTTGGATGACCTTTACTCTAAGGTGGCTAGGAGGAGGCTCTTGGATGACCCTTATTCCGAGGAGGCTATTGGATGAGCCTTACTCTAAGGTGGCTAGGAGGAGGCTCTTGGATGACCTTTACTCCAAGGAGGCTAGAAGGAGGCTCTTGGAGACCCTGCTTATTCCCTTGGCGAGCTTGATTGGGTGTGGACCCCTTTGGGCTAGATCTCATGGAGTTGGGCTCTTAATTTAAACTAGGCTTACATCATGGGCTAGGTCCTTGGGCTTGACCCATCAGTTTTTACATTTCTTGTTCTACTTTCATTGTAAGCTTTCTTCTGCATTTGGGGGGATGAACTTCTCTCATCTTTCTAGCTTCTTTGTAGCCATGAAGGGTTAGTAGTATTTCTTTCATTCTTTTTGGCACCTTTGTAGCCGTGATGAGTGAGTAGTTTCTCATCTACTCTTTAGTGAGGGTTGATGGATTTGTAATGCATTGTTTGAGTTATATATTTGAGCCATTTCTATTATGCTTAAATGTTTCATTTATCTAATGAATGATCAAATGTATCTAGCAATGCTAAGTACTTTGTATAATTGTTTGATCACTTATAAACAAGGTAAGTCTTGATATAAGTGATGCTTATGGTTCCCCGCAACTACCAAAGCTAGGTTTTCATGGAAATCTTTCAATCTTCATTTCTATTGTACTTAACTATGTGATTGAATAACTTACAAAGCTGGACATTTTGTTAAATTTGTTTGATTGGTTATACACAGGTGGGGTCCCGGCATATTCAGTGCTTATGGATCTACACTTAATGTCGGAGGTAAGGTCTTCACATAGATTCAATCATTATCTTCCGGTTAACTGAGCTATCACTATTGCACAAATATTGCGCTCAAACAGTCATTCACATTTCCAGATCCTTAAACTAAAGAGTGACTTTTTCTTTATTGTTAAGAACCTTTTATTTAGAACAAAACTCTTTACAAGCAATCATCTCAAAAAATTTATTTCACCTTTGTCTCTGTTGATTTTAGTACTAAAATATAGACATTAGTTCCCTATGGACACGACCTTAGATTTAACTAAGTTATTACCACAACCTGATTTCTTATACTTGGGAATGTATATCTTTAGACCAGGTCAAGTTTTTGGCGCCATTGCTAGGGAGCTAAGGTATTTTGAAGTAAAAGTGAAGATACTTTGAAACTTTTATATATATATATATATATATATTGTTTTTTTATTACATTTTTCTTTTTTGATTTTTTTATGTCTGGTGAATCAGTTGGGTCTATGAATCAATCCAATCTGTCAACACCTCAATCAATCATAGGCTCTTATAATAACGATATGCCCCATAATTAGAGAGATGAGAAGGTAGTCCATAATGTGCAAACTCTAATAGAATATTTACATTCCACACGGAATAGTATCTCCTCTTGTTTTAAATTTCTTGCAAATGCACCTAACTTTAATGTGAATCCTAGTATAGTGCAATTACTACCTCAAATGCATGGCCTGGAATATGAAAATCCATATTTACATATGAAAGAATTCGAGGAGGTAAATGGGACATTCCAAGACAATTCATAACTAGCCCAATTGACATTTTTTTCCTTTTTTTCTCTAACCTTTCCTTCCCTTCCATTTTCCCTCCCTCACTTTCTTTCCATCCATTTTTCCACCATAACAAACACACTATAAAGGAAAAAGCTAAACAATTTTGGCTAAATTCTTTAAAATCCCAGTCTATACCAAGTTGACAAGTTTTGCAAACTAAATTTTTTTAAAAAAATTTCCCTCTATATCGCACCAATTCACTCAAATGCAAAATATGAATTTTTATGTTAATGAGGGAGACACATTCTACCAATGGTGGGAGAAATTTAAGGATCTTCTTCAAACTTGGCCGACCATGCATTTGAGAGTTGGGTCTTAGTTAGATTTTTCTATGATTTTGTCTCCTTACATTTGAGACAATTTGTAGAAATGATGGCCTAAGAGGAGTTCATGGGAAAAAGTTCGGATAAGGCTTTTAAATTTTTTGATACCATTTCTATGAATTCCAAAATGTGAGACTTAGTCTCACCTATCACTGTAGATACCAGACCATCCACTTCCTAAGGGGGGAAGTACTTTTTAAAAGAGGATGATGACCTTAGGGTTAAGATGGCCACCTTGTCTTATAAACTTGAAGCTCTAGAGATGAGAAAGGTAAATGAAGTTGCTGTTGTGTCTAGTTTTGTTGGAGCAATCCAATGCACTCTACAATTTTAGCAAACCTTAATCCAACACCTATTCTGAGACTTATAATATAGGGTGGCAAAACAACCCAAATTTTTGTTGGAGAAACATATATCAACCTCCATCAACCACCAACAACAAGGACCACCACCACCACCTCAAGGCCCTCATGCATATCAACCGTACCAACCACCACACAAGAAGAGTTTTGAGAACACTTTGAACCAGTTCATGCAAAGTCAAATGAGTTTCAACACTCAATTGACTCAGTCTTTTAATGACTTCAAAATCTAAACTTCATAATCAAACGATAACATTAAGAGTCATTTAGCTAAATTTACCCAATCATTTAGCATAGCAAAGAAGGAAAAGTTCCCATCTCAACCTAAACCTCCATAAGGTCAATTCTAAGCTAATGTCTCTTCTCCATCTGAGTCTTCTCCTAGCAATGTTCAATCAATTATCGCATTAAGAAGTGGTAAGGTGATAGACAAGACTATCGTATCCAAATTACACTAACCAATTGTTGAGTCTACAGTAGAGTCTCATGAGAAAAATGTGTCACAAGGGAAAAAACAACTACCATGCCCCATTCCTTTACCTTTTCCCCAAAGAG